CACACACCACAACCTCCCACACACCACCCTCCCACACACCACAGCCTCAACACCCTCAATACATCACATCCTCCACACACCACACCCTCCACACCACACCCTCCACAGACCACACCTCAACACCCTCAACACACAACAACCTCCACACCACACCTTTCACACACCCCTCACACACCACACCCTCCACACCAGACCCTCACACACCCCACACACACCTCCACACACCCACCCCGACACACCACACACCACACCCTCCACACACCACACCCACCACACACCCTCCACACACACAGCCTCAACACCCTCAATACATCACATCCTCCACACAACCCACCCTCAACACACTACACCCTCCACACACCACACCTCAACACCCCTCAACACATAATAACCTCCACACACCACACACCGTTCACACACCACACCCTTCACACACCACACCCTCCACACACTACACCCTTCAACACCACACCCTCCACACACCACACCACCAACACTTTCACACACCACACCACACCACCACACCACACACCACACCCCTCCACACACACCACACACACCCCACACACCACCTCCACACACACACCCTCCCCACCACACCACCACACCCACCACACACACCACACCCTGCACACACCACACCCCACACACCCACCCTCCACACAACACCCTCCACACACCACACCCCTCAACACCCTCAACACATAACCTCCACACACCACACCTTCACACACCACACCATTCACACACCACACCCTCCACACACCACACCTTTCACACCCACACCACCACACCACACCCTTCACACACCACACCCTTCACACACCACCCTTCACACACCACACACCTCCACACACCACACCTTTCACACCACACCCTCCACACACACCCTTCACACACACACCCTCCACACCACTACACCGTAAACACCCTCAACACATCACATCGTCCACACACCACACCCTCCACACACCACACACCACACCCTCCACACACCACACCCTCCACACACCACAACTTCCACACACCACACACTCCACACACTACACCCTCCACACACCACACCCTCCACACATTACACCCTCAACACCTAACCCGCCAATGTACTGACAGACCGAGACCTCTTAGAAGTGTAGCGGGGTACAGCCTGCACTAGGGTGCTAATATTAAAATTGATAAAACAATGAACCTAGGCTATATAAGATCTCTGATAGATTACCACGCACCAGCCCTGGTCCTTCGTGACGGGAAAGGCGTTGACAAGCTCGAGAAAATGCAAAATAAAGCCCTCAGAATTATCCTAGGATGTCCCATGTGCAGTAAAGTACTTAATCTGAGGAAAGAACTAGGTATACCCAGTGTTAAAGATATAATAATTGAAGTCAACCTCATGATAGCCCTGAGGCTTCTGCGTGGTGATCCTGATAACATTGTTTCCTTAAAATTGCTAGAATGTATGAACCATGGGACTGTTGAGTCTAAATAGATCCAAACTACAGCTACACATATGAAGATGTTTGGACTAGACCACCTGTACAAAGTTGAGACACAACAGTGCTTCCTGCCACCCTGGCGGACAGTTCCCTTCGATATCACAATACCGACCTTTCCGCCTAAAAAAATAATTATTCAAAGCATTTATCTCCAACACCACACCCTCCACACACCACACACACACACACACACACACACACACCCAACACCACAACCCCACACACACACACACACACCCCACCACACCTCCTCCACAGTTAGTAACGTGACCCAATAATCTCCCACTCAACCTCTCACAAGTGTTAAGACATGATTAGTTATGTATTCCAGTCAATTGAGTGAAGGTGTAACAGAGACGTGACTGATCACCCGTTTAATTAACGGGCTTAATTCAGTGGTGAAGATAAAAGAAACAGTTCTGTTCACACCCATGTCATGTAGAGCTTTTGTTTTTTAAATATATTTATTGAACCAAACCTTTAGATAAAGTACTCAGGATTATTTTGATAAAAATGGTGTGACTAACGAAATTAGAACTGATTTTACTGACTTCAGGATCAACATTTCTTACGTTTTCTTATAAGAGAGAATGGAATTCCATCACTACATCATGAAGAAATATTTTGTTTAAGGATATTTTATTGGAACATTTCATAGAGAATTTATTAAGGATCATTATGGTATCAAATTCATCTCCTATCACAATTAGCTAGCTTGAGTGAGGAGGAGAGGGGGTGACCGTGCCCCTCCCCCACCGTCCACCCAAAAGGTTCGACTTCAACAACCAGCCACACACACACCCACCCAACACAACCCCACCCCACACCCTCCCCACACACCCCACCCCACACACCTAACATCACACCCCCTCCAACATCACACCCTCCAACATCACACCTCCCAACATCACACCCTCCCAACATCACACCCTCCCCAACATCACACCCTCCCAACATCACACCCCTCCCCAACATCACACCCTCCCCACATCACACCCTCCCCAACATCACCCCTCCCCAACATCACACCTCCCCAACATCACACCTCCCCAACATCACACCTCCCCACACACCCCAACATCACACCCTCCCCAACATCACACCCTCCCCAACATCACACCCTCCCAACATCACACCCTCCCAACATCACACCCTCCCCAACATCACACCCCAACATCACACCTCCCCAACATCACACCCTCCACACACCCCAACATCACACCTCCCCATCACACCCCACATCGCACCTCCCCAACATCACACCTCCCCAACATCACACCCTCCCCAACATCACACCTCCCCAACATCATACCCTCCCCAACATCACACCTCCCCACACACACCCCCTCCCCACACACCCCCTCCCCACACACCCTCCCCACACACCCTCCCACACACCCCAACATCGCACCTCCCCACACACCAACACACCCTCCCCAACATCACACCCTCCAACATCACACCCCCACACGCACCCCTCCCAACATCACACCCTCCCCACACACCCACACATCACACCTCCCCAACACAACCCTCCCCAACATCACACCCTCCCCAACATCACACCTCCCCAACATCACACCAACATCACACCCTCCCAACATCACACCCTCCCCAACATCACACACCCTCCCCAACATCACACCCTCCTCAAACATCACACCCCTTCCCACACACCCCCAACATCACACCCCCCCCAACATCACACACCCTCCCTCACACACCCCCAACATCACACCCTCCCCCAACATCACACCCCACATCACACCTCCCCAACATCACACCCCTCCCAACATCACACCTCCCCAACACACCCCACATCACACCCTCCCCATTACACCTCCCCAACATCACACCTCTCACACACCCCAACATCAATCCTCCCCAACATCACACCTCCCCAACATCACACCCTCCCCAACATCACACTCCTCCCCAACATCACACCCTCCCAACATCACACCTCCCACACACACCCTCAACATCACACCTTCCCACCTCCCCAACATCACACCCTCAACATCACACTCTCCCCAACATCACACCCTCCCAACATCACACCTCCCCCACACACTCCAACACCACTCACACACCCCCATCAAGGGAATTCAAGACAGCAGACATAAGGAGTGAAGGTCTTATTGTGTGATAATTTATGTGTGACAGGAAGTTAAATATCATCTGTTGAGGAGCGCTTAAACACTCATTTCCACTCCATCTTCTAATTACCCACAACTTTCTGCTTTCACCCGTATTTTAAAATGCTTATGTTATCTAATGCTGAAGGATACAACTTTGCTCATTACACTTATACTTTTTAAATCTCTAAAAATACTTAGGTCTCATGTTTATTCAAAAATCTTCAGGTCATAAGACCCACTAATCCTCAGCTAAGAAATGGTGACTCGATATTCCATCAGAAGGTCAGTAATATGAAACCACTAATCCCCTGTTTTTACCTCCACCTGACATTGGCACACAGGGTCAAGTCATGAGACCCAATAATCCCCATAATAGCCCATGGGAGTGGATAATTCCAGTCTTTACTGTAACACACAATTTCATTCACGCCCATTTCATATAGAATTTTAATTGTCAAATATATTTATTTTACCAAGCTTATATAAACTATTCTGGATTATTATAGAAAGAAATAGAGTTTAACTTCATTAGAATTGCATTTACGACTGTAGTTTAGACTCGAGGAAAACATTCTAGCACCCAGAAATATTCTGGGGAAAGGCTGTTCGTGTGCCAAGATGTCTAGTTTAGAAACTCGAAACTTTTCCTCTAGTAACCGGAAAATATTCTGGATATGAATTTTTCCGGGTCTGAGAAAGTCGCTCTTTAGCCGGAAATCTCCCTCGGGAAGTGCTCTTGCACCAATTGTTCCGCTAACGGGTATCACTGTACAATTCAATCTTCCAATGAGAAATTTAGTTGAAAGTAACCCATGCTTTTTGATACTTCTTGTTAATTTGTGACAGATACTCGTATCTTCAATGCATATGTAGAATGCAAGTGAGGTCTTTGATAGCATGCCGTTTCATAATCTTTTCATGCTTAGTTGAGACGGTTTTCTGTGTCGAAGTTGTTGTCCTCCAGAAAATGCTGAGGAAGGGATGAGAGGAAATATTGGAGAAGAATTGTCTATGCAATGAAAGAGTAATTAATAGATTTATCTCCTTCTCAATCAATATAGTGAGTAAATTAAATAGTCATGTGCTTCTTTTATCACAATTAAATTCATTAATCAATGTCTAATTTGGCATTATTGTGATATGTGTAGGTTTTAATGTATTGACTCATTACTTGATAGATTGTAAACTAGACATACTATTACATTTTGTGTTCACATATGTTGTTACTCTCTGATTCGTATTCAGCTCCATTAATTGCATCATATATTTTTTTCATTATCAGTGAAAAATCGCTTTAGCGGATGTGCATCATGACATGTGCCTACACAAACTTGACTGATGATGTCTTCCATCGGATCATCTTGAGGAAGAGGATGAACCACAACTCAAGGGTGCACAAATCATCCTCAGGAACATCCTCACCAGGAAACTGTATCTCTATGTTGGCCACACACAACCCACTGCAGCCAAAGAGAGATTAAGATTGTGAGTTATTAATGTTGATCGACTTTAGTGTTTTTGAGGGTGAAAGTTCAATTAATGATCATTATATTTCATGTGCAAAGTTTGAAATGAGAGACTTCATGGTTCCTGTCTGACCTTCAGCTACAAAATTAAAGAATAACTGAACAAAATCATGATTACTGTAAATATGTTAGTGTTTTATAGATGCAACTAAACCCTTAATTATTATGGAAGCTGCCCAACTTTGGGTTTTGAAAAATGGGGATTTCAAGATGAATCCTGTATTTATCAGAAGTACAAGTGATAGTAACACTTGTTCTATACATCTTCATTGTTTTCGAGTTGTATTTTTCATGATTTATGTGTTAATATGTGAAATTCAAATACAGTAGACTGGCAACTTAGGCGGATTTTTTCTTACGTTTCAACTATATGTGGATTACTCCAAGTTAGTTATAATTTCCACTTTAAACTCAAAATTAAAGGGGTCACAATTCAAACGACCACCTCGCCACCCACCTGGCCACCTTGTTGTCTCAGTTGTCGGGCGGTATCGTCATAACCAATATTTCTTATGCCAATTTAGTGCGCTAACTTTCATATCATCATAATGCCTAAACACACAATCTAGTAAAACAATGCTCTGTGATGTTAGACTTAATAAAAGGCAGCATGTCAATCGCTACTGTGGCACGGAGGTATGGGCGGAATGAATCAAGCGTGAGATCTGTCAAGATTTGGAATACGAAAATTCGTAGTGATTTATGAGTTCTAGTATATATGTACAGTCAGCCAAAGATGCATCGACCCCACCCTGAATCTCGTGCTTGCAATTTTACCTGGCAACACGTTTAAAGTAAGGCTGTATGTAAAGGTGATTGTAATTGGTGGATCTATTGCATTGTCAGGATAAATATTAAACAATCCAAAGGTAGAATTATTACTGTATAATGATAATCTATTCATTGTTATTTAAAGTCATAAGAAGTTTCCAAATGTTCTTATATTTGCTTAAATAATGAAGAAATTTTGATCTGAGAATCTTGTGGCAGTCCTCGTTCCTAGTTATAGTTGAGTTGCCAATTGATTAATATAGTCATTATTTAAACAAATACTATATATACTAATATAAGGACCGTGCCTCTTATAACATTTTTCTTTACTCTAATACAGCTAGACCCCAACTTACGACGGGGTTAGGGACCCAAATCCAGGTCGTAAGTCCGACATAGATAAATTTTTTTTTTTTTTTAATTAAAATCTACAATGAAATACAGTACAGTAAAAAGTAATAAATAATGAGGAATGACACAGTGAAAGTAATAAATAATGAGGAATGGATACAAGTAATGGGTGACAGTACAGTAAGTAATAAAATGAGGAATGGATAGTGTGACTGAGCACTTACCTTTAATGTAGTCAGTGAATGCAATATGGACATTTCATAATTTTCTAATTATACATGAGACTACATTAACTGGAAACGTTTCGCATAGAAAATGCGGTCATTTGAAGAAGAAGAAGAAAAAAAAAAAAAGAAAAAAAAAAAAAAAAAATTGTCACAACTCAGTAGGGTAGTAAGTCCCGTCGTAAGTCAAGCAGTCGAAGTCAGTCTAGCTGTACTTAAAACCATTGGTATGACGAGAGGAGGCTTGTGGGTGTATGTAATGATAATATCAAGTAATAGGAAAGAAATAACTAGATACTGTAGGTAAATAATAGACAATATACAAATACAAAATTTATTTAAACATTAATATGGAGGAGGAAAGAATATATAATAATAATAATAAATAAATAATTAACGGTTTTTAAGATAACATGGACTTCGACGCGGAGAGGGATTTTGTGATATATTGATATACTTGGGAGATTGGATCCACCTGAGCACGCCTGTGCTTGCAAGACAAGCCGACTATTCATACTCAAGATGTCCAACCGCTGCGCTGCTGACCAACCTTTGAAAAGACCTCCAATATTTTGTAAATAATATATTATGTGTTAGGAACATCCTTCCTTTGCTTTAGGCCTTATAATATTTATTGTATATACTTTTCACATTGCCAGATGTTCTGTGTATTGTATGCTAGTGACAGCACATCCGCCTCTATAAGTAAAAATGAAATGAAATTGAATTGATAACATGACAGCCCGAAGGCTGAAAATATACAATGAACAGAGGTGATAAGTTACATATGGTGGAATCGGGGAGTGGGTCACTTGATTGACAAAAGCTTTCAATACAGTAACATAAGAAACATAGAGTCAACATAAAGATTAACTATAGATCTGGTACTGTGGGAGTTGGTCTTGTAAATATTCTTGTGATCCTCACTGGATGGCCGTTGCGTTATACCTGGCCGCTAATCCGCTACCTCACTACAGCTGCAGATGCACCACTTCGTCCGTTAAGGTTCTTCAGCTCACACAGGGTGTTGGAGATGGTTCTTGTTCCTCATATGATGTTGTTAGGAATATATAGTTCCTCACCTGGGTGGAGTAGGGAGTCCTCATTTTTCTCCTGATGTAGTTTGGAATCCTTCTTGGCTTCTCATCCAGTGTTGGTGGTGGTGAGTGTACCGGGGACTGGGTGTGTTAGCTCCGCGGCAGCTTCAACATTGGCCGCTAAGCACTTATTGTCATTCTAACAGTTGTTTCTTTCTTTCGAGTTGAATTTGTCACTTTTGTATATCATTTGTGGGTTAATCGTCAATCTTTGTACTGTACTGTTGGTGGGAGGATATTGATAAATTCAGGTGGGGAGGAAGAGATGGGAAAAGGGAAGGGCCTGACAAACCAGGCTGGCAGCTGTCCCCATGGTCAAGAGACCACGGGCAGCGCCGACGTCCTCACCCTATGAAGGCTGGAGACGAAATCTGGTACTATGCCCTCAGGCTCAACACACTCACACCACTACTGGGTGGACATACTCAATAACACAACTCTTAGAGTAACTTAGCACCATTAAGACCAGGGGCAACTGCCACTACAACACTCAGTCGTCAGGAGTGATACTCAAGCACCCGCCATGGGGTCCTGCCACCATGGGGTACTTTCCAACGAACTCTGAAGATCCCAGTGGAATAACCCCACCACACAAATAGCCCTACTGAGTTAGACACTCATCCACCAATGATGGGGGCTGGTAGTGGTGTGTGGCTTGGTGATCCGGGGTCACCTCACGGGCCGAGCGTTAGGGTCAGATGAGCCAGCTATGGGGCCCATAGGTAGTCTGAAGTGTCTGACGGTCGGATCTCACGAAGGTAACTGATCCTACTGGACCTCGGACATCTCCTCAGACATAGTGGATACAACATCCACGCTACAGACACGGCCTAGGCTGCGTTAGGGACCTGTATGGGTGAAGGGGGCGAGCACTTACTAACGGTGACAATGACATCACGTTTCAGGGGACGTTAAAGACGTAAATATTACTTCACTCAGAGCATACCAACTACGTTACTGTAACACTTGCACAATCAACTATTAATTGGGTCAAATCACGTAAAGAAGGGCGAATTACAACACAGTGGAATGACCTACCTGTATGGGTGAAGGGGCGAGCACTTACTAATGGTTGAAATGCCCGCGGCACCCTCACTCAAAATAGGGCGGAGTCCACCTACTTCTATTTCGATGAATTAATTCACTGTACACTCTGAAGTTGAAATAGACTATGAACTCGGTTTCATTCCCTACTATTATCTTCACTAACAATGCTCTGCCTGAGCTATCAAAAGCAAAATTAAATTGATTACAAAGGGTTGGATGGCAACAGGATCCCAACATACAGCGTCTTGCTGCGAAATCTGTGGATTACAGTCAACCCTCGCTTTACGCGGTCCCACTTTACGTGTTTCCACGTTTACGCGGTACCCTGCCGAAACCGGAATGCTCACTTTCTGCGGTGTGTGTACCCTTTTACGCGGAGAGCGGTACGAGCATGGTGCGCATAAGGTCGCCCAGTCATCAAAACATTACCGAGTTCTTCACCCGCCACCCACCACAGCCGGCCCAAGTCAGTGATAGTGATAATGATAGTGAGGACATGGACTTTGAGGGGTTTGACAAAGAGGCCCTGCAAGCCTCTGTGGTGGATAGTGATACAGGTGAGGGCCAATAATCTGCCCTCTGCCTCGGAACCAACCCCCCATCCCCGTGTGCCCAGCCATCTTTTCTACTAATGTAAGTGTTAAAAAACCTAATATTATTGATATTTCTCTTAATTATTAATTGTGTGTGCATACCATCATAAAATTAAGAAGTTATTTTTACTACAACGTAGGTATTGTGTCTGAAAAAGTGGAGTTTGGGGATCGGCCCGGTCTCTATTTCAATTACAGTTGTACCCCACTTAACGCGGTTAATTGAACCCAGAGGGTCCCGCGTTAAGTGAAAACCGCGTTAAGTGAATAACAGAACATATGGGATTAATTCCAATAGAACCCAGCCCGACCCCCAAACTCCACTTTTTGACGACAAATAACTATGTTGTAGTAAAAATTCTATCTTAACTTTATGGTGGCATGAAAAACAAGTAATATAGAAGAGGTTAGGTTAGGAAAGATAAAGGTTAACATAGGAAAAATAAAGAATAGGTTAAAAAACGAAAATTTTTGAGGAACACTCACGGTAGTAGAAGAGATGGGTCGGCATACGGGGATGGAGGCTGGTTCCGAGGCAGAGGGCAGATTACTGCCCCTCAGGTGAATCACCATTACTAGGTGAATCACCATTACTAGGTGAATCAATATCACTGTCACTTACAGTTGTCATGGCTTCCCTGACAAATCCCTCAAAATCAACTTCACTATCACTATCACTGGCTTGGGCTGGCTGTGGTGGGTTGCGGGCGAAGAACTCGGTTATGCTTTGCTGACGGCTGGCTTTGATGTTGTCATGATACACCGTGATGTACGGCTCCATAGCCTGCACCAGTCGGGTATGGAAGACGTCATGGCGTTCATCGTCAGTGTCGCGGGAAACGATGGACTTAATTTTTTCTGTTAACTCTATGAGACACTTAATATCACTATGACTTAAACTAGGTTCTTCGGAGAATGACGCACCTTCTTCCTCCTCTTCACTGGCGGGTTCTTCTTCCAACATCTCGTCGGCAGTCACTTCAGGATCTCTGATCACCTCCATGATGTCTTCGTTGGTGGTCTCGGAGAAGCCTTCAGCTGTAATACTGAGCGCAGCTTCTCTGGCAAGGTCCACTGCTACTGCAACAGTCTGAACCTGACCAGTCACAGGTTCACTCCTCCTCTCACCTGGTATGCCATGCAACACATGTCTCCATGCGTGACGAATCGTAGCAATAGTCAGCAGATCCCATGCCTCCACCAAGAAGTCTACAGCTTGTTTGACGTTAAACTTCTTCCAAAATTGTTTGACGAGAAGTTCTTGAGTCGCCGCCTCTTGTTCCTTGTCCTCGTCGCTTTTACTCTCGCTGTCGGTGTCACCCAGCTTACGCAACTCATCCTTGGTGTTGGTAGAGTCGTTCAGGAGCTTGAATTTCTTTGCCGAGTATGCAGCTTTAACATTGCAGATTAACTCCTGGTCCATGGGCTGGATTAATGACGTAGTGTTGGGAGGAAGGAAGACCACTTTTACGTTGGGGTGACGATCCATAAGTAGGGGCGAGTGTCCAGGTGCGTTGTCAAGGAGCAACAAAATATTGAAAGGAACATTCTGTTGCTCGCAGAATTTCTGCACGTCAGGAACAAAACAGTTGTCAAACCAGAAGAGGGACAGAGAAGAGGACATCCACGCCTTACGTGCGGTTAGCCAGTGGACATTAAGCTTGTTCATGTCCATATTCTTGTAGGCGTGCGGCTTGCGGGCTTTGTGAATCACCGATAACTTTGGTTTACAGGTACCGGAGGCATTGGTGGTAAACAGGACGGTGATGCGTTCCTTCTGCATCTTCCGGCCCCTTACCTTGCTCGCAGACTGGACAACGAAGGTCTTGGAAGGTAACTTTTTCCAGAAAAGACCAGATTCGTCCATGTTAAACACCTGGTCGTCACTGTACTGTCCTTCCTCCATAATCTCACGTAAAAACGGAGGAAAATCTCTAGCCGCCGCACGGTCAGCACTCGCTTCCTCACCAACAATGCTGATGTTGGTGACCTTGTTCCTCCTCTTAAACCTATGCAGCCAACCATGGGAAGCATTGAAGGGTTTGGGCTCTGCAATTCCCAGTTTACGTGTCACTGCTGCGTATAGCTCACGTGCGTACTCCTGCACTGAGCGCGTGTCCACCGCCATGTTGCGTCGCGCCTGACGCACCAAATAACTCACCAGCAAAGTTTCCACTTTTGCCAGCACCCTGTTCTGGCAATACCTGATAGATGAAGCACCTGCAGACTTTGTGATCTTCATGTGCTCCTTTATCTTGGCTGCATCCTTCTTTATTGTACGAATCGTAGATTCGTTGACGCCATGCTGGCGCGCGAGATCAACTTGGCGTCTTCCTTTCTCCAAATCTTGAACAATTTGGTACTTCAGCTCGTAGCTTAATGAACGTCGTGTCTTCTTTGGTTTAGTGCCGCTGGGTCCAGGTAAGGAAAGGTTTCTCTCTGGGGGTGGTGGTCCGGCGGAAGCCATTTTACGGAACAATGGATGCGCGTTAACCCGGCGTGGCCTTGAGGGATGAAACTGCCGTGGCTAGGTCAAGCGTCGTCTCTCCTCCCTCCCTCCCTCCCCGGGGTAGTCACGTCATAATACTTTAAGCCAATTACAGCTAGCAGCAGAGGGGGGTAGGGCTGCATGGCCAATCACAGTCCGAGACGTCATATGACGTCAGTGATAACGCAACAAAGACACACACTGCGCAACCTTACCGCGCCGCTTGCCCAAGCGGAGGGAGGAGGAGGGAGAGGCAGGCAGGCAGGCAGGCGGGCGGGCGGGCGGGCGGGTGGCGCGTGGTCAAAATCTAAAAATAGCATCCGAGCCGGACACTCACCGCGTATATGATGAAAAATGCCGCGTTAAGTGAAAGTTCAGCTTTGGCAAGGCACCGCGTATATGCGAAAACGCGTTAAGTGAAAGCGCGTTAAGCGGGGTAAAACTGTAATCCCATATGTTATGTTGTTCACTTTACGCGTTTCTCACTTTACACGGGCCACTGTGGGTTGAATTAACCGCGTAAAGTGAAGGCTCACTGTATATTCAAAGTTCCCTTTAGACAAAGACGGCCTATCGATGACGTCATCAAGGAAACAGAGAAAATGGGGGACGTTTCCACTAGGGGACTCAGAAGGTTTTGTGGACGTTTGAGCGTAATATGAATCTTAAAGGTTTTCAGGTTAGCTGTCATCACGATCATGACACTAACATTTGGAAACTTCTCATGGTCTTAAATAAGAATGAATAGTTTATTATTATAATAATTCTACCTTTGGATTGTTTAATATTTATCTCGGCAGTGATACAGCCGAAACAAATCCACCGATTACAATCACCTTTACATACAGCCTTACTTTACCAAGTGTTGCTAGGTAAAATTGCAAGCACGAGATTCAGGGTGGGGTCGGTGCATCTTTGGCGATTTAGGGGATTTTTAGGAGTGTTTCTGACTGTACGCTGGGTCCCAGAAACGTAAACCCCGCGTAAGTTGCAAGTCTACTGTACAGGACAGATATGTATTTTTTTTTTATTAATTAATTATTTTTTTTTTTTTACAGGATAAAGCTGATCTGCTTGAGGCTCTATATAAAAAAATTCCTAAAAATAGTACATTAAAGGAAGGTGATCTAAGTGTCCAAGAAGTCACACTTAACTATGGTATGGGGGATGAAAACCCAATAGAACATGCCCGTTTCTACAGCAAGAGGTCACCCAATGTTGCCAAAGCTATGCAGAAAGAAGTTGTTTCTGTGTTGCTTCCCTATAGGTATGACTTTTCAAGATGTACAGTATTTATGACCTATTTGTATCCATGTTAATAGGGAAAGTTTAGTAGATGAGAGAAAGGTATAGTTATTCTGTTTTGATAAGGAGACATGACAACTGGACAGAGGAAATAATAATGGAGTAAGGAGTAGGATTGAATATAAAGTATGTGGTATGCCCGGATAATTCACGGATTTTTATTTCACGGTCCTTTATTACTTGCAGATGACACCTTGGATGTACCCTAGAATGTCTATGGGTAGTTTTGAATTTGCTGGTATTCTCGTGGCCAGGACAGGGAGCCATTCGTTCTAGAGACAGTAACTTCCTTTACCTGTTTTGTATAAATGTGTGTGTGTGTGTGTAGACACACAAACACACAATAAAAAAGCAATACAAATAAATAATAATGGGAAAATCCTCTCACAAATAATCAGAAAAAAATTAAATAAAAATGTTGAGTCTATCCTCAAGTGCACTCTGTGCTTTATTAATAACAAAGCACAGAGTGGACTTGAGACTCAATATTTTTAATACATTTCTTTCTTATTGTATATATGTTCAGTATTGTACAGGTTGACCATAAAAAAATCCGGCATTCGATAAACCGGAACCTTCAGTTTTCCGGCATGGATTTCGGAGCGCATTTTCAAATTTCCTGCCTTGGCGCACCATTGTTTTCTGGACGCGCCGTTTATGTTTTGATAGCGCTGTACTCCAGACTCAGCTGTTGGGTCTTGCTTGCACCTGCTAACAAGCATTCATGCTCATTCCTTCTGATTTTATCATTTTATCATTTAATTAGCCTGGTAAACATTAAAATTTCATTTGCTTTTCATTTAGTGTTTAATTTTCTTTTTTTTTAAAGGATTGTACAGGTAGTAATTTTCTGTTAAATATACTGTACAGTATTACCCAGCTTTACACGGTTTCACTTTCCTCCGCTCATTTACACCTTGCCAGAACCGGCTACTCATATACGCGTGAAGTATAATTTTTTTATTTTTTTTTATTTAGCTCATAAAATTCATACAAATTACCCGGCCAGAATATAATTTACATTGCTGGAATTCTTACAATATGATGATCATTTTGAATATAAACATCATGGATTTTGCATTAGACATACAAATTTTAGATCTAATGTAATAATTTGGTTTACACAAAGCAAGTATTTTATCTTTTGTGCAAAATATATGAAGTTTACATTCAAAATATTCCCTGACCTGCAAGGAATCCAGAAATGTCAATTATATTATCCTAACTTTAGTCTGAGGTATTATTTATTACTAAATGTTAAAATCTAGTGTTTCACCCAATCATTTCTCAGAGAGGTAGGGGCCAGTGAGCTGGGAAGAGGGGGGGGGGGATTTGAGTCCATTATTTGAATGGACAGTAACCTGGCGACTGTATTTCTCTTAAATATTAATTGTGTGAGCATACCATCATAAAATTTAGATGTTATTTTTACTACAACATAGGTATTGTGTCGGAAAAAGTGGAGTTTGGGGTTCTGGCCAGTCTCTATTGGAATTAATCCCATATGTTCTGTTGTTCACTTTACGGGTTTTCACTTTCCGTGGTACCCTGTGGGTTCAATTGACAATTGACCGCGTACGTAATCGGGGTACAGTGAGTTCTGCTATAACGCGTGTTTTGATAACGCGAATTTGTTCTAATGCGATTTTTTAATTAGGAACGATATTTGTATAACGCGAATGCTTGTTTGCTATAACGCGATTTTTGCTTACTATTTCTCCAATTTTGTGGTATTAACTGTGAATATGGTAAAGAAGAATATCTCCAAGAAGCGTTCTGGTGATAGAATTCCCGGTGATGATCGTAAAAGAAAGGATATAACACTTGAAGAGAAGCTCGATTTTATCAACCTCAAAATCACCCTTCTCCCCCATCAAGTTACATTCATATTTTTTCAAGGTAAAGTGTTAGATTTACTATATGATTTCATTATTAGATATGAATGTAACATTTATTTAGACTGTGCTATGCTTTGTGTTAGGCTAACTACTAAATTTTTTCGATTTCAAGTAATCTGCACCAAACCCTATTTTCTCCATAAGCCCTGTTATTTCTATTACGCGATTTTCTATAACACGATATTTTACAAGAACACAATTATCGCGTTATAGCAGAACTACCTGTACTACTGTATACAGCATTTATAATAAAATTTCATTTGCTTTTCATTTAGTGTTTAATTTTCTTTGTTTAAAGGACTGTACAGGTAGTCATTTTCTGTTAAACTTACACAGCAAATATAACCATCAGGTCCTGAGGTTGCCGGATTTTCGATAGTCAACCTGTGTACAGTGAACCCTCACTTTATGCGGTCAATTGAACCCACGGAGGCCCGCGTAAAGCGAGGAACGCGTAAAGTGAACAACATAACATATGGGATTAAATGAAATAGAGACCGGCTGACCCCCAAACTCCACTTTTTCCGACACAATACCTATGTTCTAGTGAAAATAACATGTTAATTTTATGATGGTACATGCATACAATTAATACTTAAGAGAAATAGAGAAATACAGTCGCCAAGTTAATGTCCATTCAAATAATGGACTCGACTCCTTCCCCCTCTTCTCACACTACACTCGCTGGCTCTTCCCTCTCTGAGAAATTTTTTGGGGAAAACCACTAGATTTTAAGGTATAGTTATAAATAATACCTCAAACTAAAGTTAGGATAATATAATTGACATTGCTGGATTCCTTGTAAGACCAGGAATATTTTGAATATAAATGTCATATATTTTGCACAAAAGATAACATATTTACTCAGAGTAAACAAAATACTTCATTAGATCTAAAATTTGTATGTTGAATGCAAAATCTATGATGTTCACATTCAAAATGATCATAAAATTGTAAAATTCCAGCAATGTAAATTATATTCTGGCGGGTAATTTGTATGAATTATGAGCTAAAAACAAATATCTTCGGTTATAAAAAAAAAAAATTCTTCAAGAACTATCTGTCAATCAAACACCCACCTTACCTCCCCCTCTTCAACCTCCAGATGGTCGGTCGGGTCCCTCCACCCCCCCTCCCCTAACCAGATAAATGTTTGGGAGAAACCAGAATATTTACCTTTTTGGTAATAAATAATATCTAAGACTAAAGTTAGGATAATATAATTGACATTCCTGGATTCCTTGTAAGACCAGGAATATTTTTAATATAAATGTCATATGCAGTCAACCCTACTATTCTGGCGGTCCCACATTCCGCGTTTCCACGTTAACAGCGGTGCCCTGCCAGAACCTAGCGTGCTCAATTCTGTGAGAGGTCGGCCGGCAGCTATTTTTTAGATCGCCCCCACCCGCCTGCCTGCCTGTGCTCTTGCCTCTCCCTCCCTCCTCCTCCCTCCCTCCCCTCCTCCCTCCCTCTCTCCCTCCTCCCTCCTCCCGGGGCAAGCCTGGTCAGGAGTTTTGCCAGTGTGTGTGCTGTTACGTTATCACTGGCGTCATATGATGTCGGACTGTGATTGGCCATGCATCCCTACCCCTCTGCTGCTAGCTGTAATGGCTTAAAGTATTATGGCGTGTCCGAGAGGAGAGGGAAGCGATGTACTAGCACGCCAGTTTCATCCGTCCACGCCAGACCTGTAACGATGCATCCATTGTTCTGTAATGACTTCGCAGGTTACTAATACCATCATCCAAGAGTTGGAGAACAAGGCAGGTTGATTTGGCGCCAGCATGGTGTGAATGAATCTCGATTCGAACAATAAAGAAGGATGCAGCCAAGATAAAGGAGCATGAAGATCACAAAGTTTACAGGTGCTTCTATGATCAAGTATTTTCACAACCAGGTGCTTCTATGATCAAGTATTTTAACCAGGTGCTTCTATGATCAAGTATTTTCACAACCAGGTGCTTCTCAAGACAGAAAAAATTACTTGTGAGTGCAGTGCGTCAGGCGCGACGAACATGGCGGTCGTCTGGCGCTCTGTTAGGAATCTTATTCGTGGCAGAATGGGGTACAACCCAAACCTTTTTATTATCTGGGTGGTTTAAGAGGTTTAAGATCTGAATCCATTGGTGAAAGCGAGGTGACTGACCAGGTGCTAAATTCCTCCGTTTTGAGGTTATGGAAGAACAGAATCTGGTCTTTTCTGGAAAAGGTTACATTCCAAGTCCTTAGGTTGTAAAGAATGCCAGCAAGATTGGGCGGAAGATAGAAGACTCGCATCACCGTCCTGTTTCACCATGCCTCCGGTACCTGTAAGCTCAAGGTTATCGGTGATCCACACAGCATGGCACGCCTACAGAACCATGGGACATGACCAGCTAAATGTCCTCTGGCTGACCGCACATAGGCGTGGATGTTCTCTACTGTCCCTCTCCTGGTTTGATGACTGTTTTGTTCGATGTAAAAATTCTGTGGCGACAGAATGTGACATTCAGATTTTGTTGCTGCTGGACAACGCGCAGGACACTCGCCCCTACTGTTAGATCATCACTAGCATAAAAGTGGTCTTCCTTCCTCCCAATTCGTCTATATTACAGCCCACGGACCAAGGTTGATCTGTAATGTAATAGCTGCATTCTCTCTGAAAAATTCAAACTCCTGAACGACTACACCAACACCAGGGAAGAGTTGGTAACACCACCACCGATAGCAAGGCGAAAGATGAGGATCAACAGTTGGCACAGCAAAATACTGTTCAAACAATTGGAAGTATTTAACATCAAAAAAGCTGTGGACTTCTTGGTGGAGTCATGGATAATCTATTGCTACAATTCGTCCGCATGGGCGTGTTGCATGGAATACCAGTGAGAGGAGGATTCAATCTGTGACTGGTGAGGTTCAGACTGTTGCGGTAGCAGTGGACCTTGCCAGAGAAGCTGCTGGGGTGTTACAGTTCCAGGCTTCTCCAGACCACCAACAACGACATCCTGGAGGTGATGGGAACCTGATGTGACTAGGGAGATGGTAGATGATGATGATGATGACGTCAGTGAAGAGGCAGGTGGTCGTCATCTCAAGATGAACAACACTTATCCCATAGTAATGTTAGGGGTGCATCGAGTGTATCGAGAAAGCCAAGCTCCTCCTTTCCCGACGCCTGAAGCAAACAGGTATGAAATCTTCACTACCCAGTGTTGCGACTGATTTTATCATGGTGATCCACGACAACATCAACACCAGCCGTCAGCAAAGCATAACAATTTCTTAAGCCCGCAAGCCCACCACAGCCAGCCCAAGCCAGTGATAATGACAGTGAAGATGACTTTGAGGGTTTGTCGGGGAAGCCCTGACAGCTGTAAATGACAGTGATGGTGATGCACCTAGTAATGGTGATTCACCT